TTATATTATTTCTCAACAAATACTCGCAAGTGGAACGCTACGCAGTGTAAAGTTTCTTAACGATTTATTTTGCATCCATGGAGTTAAAATTCTAATGTAATTCGGCTAATTTATATTATCGACGACCGGATAGCGTAGTGGTCGCAAGCGGAAAGGTCGCAGGTTCGATTCCCGCTCAAGTCAAACATTTGTGTGCATTAACATTTAATGTTTGATTTGATCTGGGTGTTTCTATTTATAATATGCATTTATTAACAAAAAATAAAGTACATATGAATTTATATCAGTTGTGATGTACCCATAGTACAAGCTCTGCTTAGTTTGGGACTAGATGGCGTTGTGTGAATGTGGTAGAATGTTATTATTGATATAAATGTATAAACACACTAAATATATCAACAAGTACATTAGGGCTTTTGTAAACTGATGTCAAATTAGACAATTACTAATATTTATTTTCTGATTACAATAGCACGGACTCTGCCTAGTTTAGGATTGAATGGCCATGTGTGGTCTAAAGTTATTATTAATCAATTGTTGCAAATACACGAACGATAACTACAATGTATCTTATTTCTATGATTTCAACATTCAACGATACCTAAAATATTCCAGTTATTAATTTCTAACAAAACAATTACAAGGTTTAATAACAAAGTTAATTGGAATTAATTTAGCTTTGTTATTATACACGCTCAGGTAGATACTCCACGCCAAAATGGTGGATGTTTTATTCCAATAAATTATTTCCTACTTAAGGAGTTTTATATCCACGCCGCGAAGTGGAGGCCAATTCAGCTGGCCTATAATTAGTCCTTAATATTTTACATTGGTAATACTAATTTACCAATATGATTACTAAATCAGAAACCCTTTTGTAAACATTATCAGTTCATACTTTATCATCATCTCAGCCGAAAGACGTCAACTGCTGGACATAGGCCTCTCCCAAGGCTCTCCACGACAACCGGTCCTATGCTACCATCATTCAACGGCTTCCCGCGATCTTAACCAGGTCGTCGGACCACCTTGTAGGGCCTACCAACGCTCTATCTTCCATTAGTTAATTGTGCCTGCCATAGGAAGGTTTTGCCATAATCGCCACCGTTGGCATGCGGGTTGGCGATCGCAGTAAGCTGATATTACGCTCAGTAAGATGCTGCTGCCCATCCTCTGGTATCCCTTAGTCGACATTTACGACACCCACGGGCCGAGATTGGTTGCAGCTAGTGTTTAACCGGCACCACACGGCACTTACTTACTAACTTACATACTCATACTTTATAACCTTATTTATTCCGTGATAACCACTTTTTAGCACTATTTTCTCTTCAAATTTCTGCGTCTTAAGTATTATTTTTTCATCAGGTTTCTGTAGAGAAACTAGAATATTTCTAGGTTAATTGAAGAGGATTTGGTTGGTTTGGCTTATAACGCTTGTTGATTCCAAATACAATAAAAGTCAGAAAAATATAAGAGGAACTCCCCATTCTTATATGTCTCTGGCGTCTTCTTACACAACGTACAACAAGTAAAGAGAAAATTCTGAAAAATAAAAAAAAATTGAAAATTAAGGTATATTTTGGTACTTACAAGATTTCGCGAAAATCTAAATTTGCCCATATCTTTTTATCGTGTTGACTCAGGACCTTGATTTTTATACATCTAAAAGGGACCTCAGTAGCTAGTATAAATTTCAACATGCTAGGTCTACCCGTTCCTGAGAAAATCGGTGGTGACACACGGACAGACGAACAAAAAAGTGATCTTATAAGGGTTTCATTTTTTACCTTTTGAGGTACGGAACCATAAAAAATACGTTCTAATTGCGGTAGTTATGGAAAAAAATCTGCGTGTATAACGAGTCTTGAAAACAAACATGAATGAAGATGTTCTCCTTCATAAACCAGTTGGTGTCGGCATCATTATCTGTAATAGCTCCTGTACTTCGTGTTGCAAGTTAACCGCAGCCAATGCGCCGATATTATTACTAGGTGCGCACGCGCCACTATTCAACAAACATTTAGGCCTACCCATCTTTGGATTACGTTCGAGATTTCGCCACAATTGTAGTCTGCTTAGTTTACAACAGTGTGTTTATTTATGTGATCTGCCACTTTATGGCTTTAATGGCGACGACCTTATTATCAGACCATCAATACTCTATTGAATTTCTTGGACATGTCAAAACGAATTATATGAGTGAAAACTCGAGGGTTTTAGAGTTCAATTAACCACCTTCTTGCTCGATCATCACGTAAGCCGTCAGATGCAAAATTGCAGCATTGTCCATATAATACATAATTACTATAAAACTCTTAAAGGTAGTCTTATATTTACTTGCAAGGTTGGTTTACATAGTTGGAAGTTAAAAAAAGGTATAATTATAAAAAAAGAATTGCAAATACCACAGAAAATTCATTTCGTTCTGTAAAAGTAAAACGCAAAGGTAGCTTATGGATAAAGCGTAAGACCTTCACTCTGTTGCGAAGATCTATTAGAAGGCGACCGACTCGATCACAGTATTGACACAATAGATACTTTAAGACGAGCCACATTGAATCTCGAATATTATGGAATAGTCAATAAAATTATAATAACTACTTGGAAACAAAGATTTTCTTGTTATTTTATTTGCGCCTGGCACATTTTATTAGCAAATAACTGTTATGTAATTTGTTTGTATTATTTTTGTATTTTTATTAGTACTATACAGAATGAGAGACGCCAATTTATGCCCGTTTAATTGACCTGTCTAGTGCTTTTGACCTGGTTTCCTACGATGTGCTATGGGAAAAGCTAGAGGAAACTAGTTTACCTCTTAAGCTCATAAATATTTTTAAGCGATGGTCAGGGAAAATGTCCGAATCGTATAGGCTGGAGTGTGGTGTGAGACAGGGGGGGTTGACTTCTCCTGCAGTCTTCAATCTTTATATGAACATCCTCATTGAAGGGCTCAGCAATTGGCATATTGGTTGTTATATAGACGACGTGTGCGTCAATAATCTCTAATTAATAAATCTGCTGATCGCCTCAGTCAGTGGTTCAAGGTCCTTATGTTAAGAAGAAATGCTTATAACTTGTGAACAGTATTCAAAAGGTCACTTGCTTGTTTACAATGTGAACAAATGTCAATACATGGTAATTTATTTACTTCCCTATGCAATAAATTAGGTATTTAAAAGCCGTTAATCCTGAAGGGCCTGATCTGAATAATGGGACAAACTATTTAAATTATTGCATTGTCATCGGACCTTGATAAATGTACAAAGTTTCAATTTAATGCGGCGTTTTGAAGTGGGTCAAAATTACGTGGATTTAAAATTTGTCATAGTGTATAGTATTCTACTAGTCAGGCCCTTACATTTGATACTCATATAGAGGGAGTTGTGAAAAATATTCTTTTTTTCATTTTTTTTTTCATCAAACATTGCTAAGAACATTTCCGACTAATTCACCTTTCAAACAAAATCAAAATCGGTTCATCAGCTCGGGAGCTACGATGCCAGAGACAGACACACACACCCTCAGACACGTCAAACCCGACGTCGTGTTAATAAAAACGATTGAAGATGTCTTTTACACATGAATGAATTGACAAAATAAACTTTTTATTCACTGGTTTTGCTTCTATAAATCGGTTGAAACAATATTTCGGTATGATTATCGGTGGTTGAACATATAAACAAACGAGTACAAAGAATTTTCTTTACATATTGATATGTAGATTTCTTAATATTTAATTTTAAAACCGGCACGGATATGGTCATCATCATCAACAGCCTTTACTAATCCACTGCTGGACATAGGCCTCTCCTTAGAAAGTTGGTTTTGGCCTACTATACCATCCTGGCCAGGCGGGTTGATATAGGGTTTATTTCATTCTTTCTCTTTGCAGCGTTGTTGTCCTGCAGAGTTTGCTCTCTTACTTGGCTCTTACGACACCCACAGGGCGAAAAGGGGTGGTGACACTCCGTATGCTTAATGCGTCACCACACGGAGACGATACAGTGGCGCCTGTAAAAAAAATGTCTTGATATCCTTAATAAGAAACTACTATCATTCTAGTGCCTCCGTACAGTTAAATGCTAGTGTACAGCATTAATAAATCAATGAAATGTTTATCAAAGATCTATCATAGTAGGGGAGCCCTAGAAGGGATTTCGGGATTTACTCGAGCGTGTCAGATTAACATAGGATCCACCATACATGAGCCCTATATAGGGAGGATCTTCTAGGCCACCCATCAATTTAGTTGAAAAAAAAAGATGGCCAAAAATACTCGAGCGTGGTTAGTTGAGTCAATTACATGCACATTACTGTGTGCACATGATTTGAGTGTAACATAAAGCAGTGGGAGGGTCACAAAGTTGCAAAAAAAAAACAAATGACCTTGACATTTGCTTTTTATATTTAAGCAAACAATGGAAGAAATCTACTTTCAATGTTTACATATATGTAGAATTGACACATTTTATAAATAATCCAAATGTTTCAAACCGTCAGATTTAAAATACTTTGCAAATTAAAGTCAGATTTTTGTCTAGTATGACAGGTACATCAAGCTGAACCGTCTGTATAAAATCTAACACGATCGGGTATTTCGAAATGCCGACTTTTCAAGTTTGCATTTTGCCAGGCGTTTGAATTGGAGGATTTTTTGGTGTCCAAATAACATATTACCAAAATATCTAATGCGCCCGAATATTTTTTTTTCCATTTCCTCCCCTTATATTTTCAAAAAGCTGTGGAAGCCTTGCCCACCGCTGAAAGTGGAAACATTAATAACTTTTATTCATTCTATTACCTAATATTTCAAAGGCAATAGGTCCCCATGACGCTCGAGCAAATCCCGATATAGCATCATGGGCTCCCCTACATCACTAGTTCTAATAATCTTTATATTAAAGCCTATCTCCATTTTACATCAAATATTAAAAGAAAAACAAAAATGTATTTAAAAAGTAAAACGTCTTATTTATTTCCCAAATAAACCGATTTCATAAGTCACAAATTTGTGGTTGAATTGTTTGAACCACATTTAAATTACAACTACCCTCCATTGGCTGGCCTTGCTCAGCATTGCTGTCGACCTTTGATTGCAGCTGTGCCGATATGAAATGTTCAGATATGTGTTGACGTAGTTCCATCTTGAGTCTGAAACTTTGACTGCATTCATCGCATCTGTAAACATAAATCAATTCCAAATAAGTATTCAAAATCTTTAGACGATAAGATTTTATGTACCAAAATCTCACTTATAATAACAAATAATTTGCGACTCTAGCTATTATGCAATTAAGTACAAATTAGATCAAATTTAATAAAATTAAACAGTCGTTATGTGTAGCATATGTCGAGATTTGAACCAGGATGGTTATAGAACTCTGTAACCGAAACAATCGGATATTATGCGAAATAAAAATTTCTAAACAATAAACTAATTTCATATAAAAGTTTCGTATAGTTTCGCATATGGACTAATATCTAAATAAGACATGTAAACTTTTATATTCATTTTATGTAGACGTTTGCTTCAATAATAAATTACAATTTTATTTGAAATCGTACATATGGTTTTTGCTTTCGAATCAGAATGACCAATTTTCTACTTCAAATCCACATTTGATAACCAATTTCTGATTAAAAAAAAATATGTAACCAATTCCGTGTATGCCACAGAGATAGAGGAACATGTGCGTGGGACGCCAGAGCCCCGCCGCCTCCGGCGACCAGACCAGACCAGCTGGGGTGCATAACAATGAGTAACGTAACGGTAACGTAATAATGGGTAGGTGACAATTTAACTTTTCGAAATTAAAGAAACAACTAACAAAGAACTCTAAAGTTCATTAATTGTTAGCCATCTACTTATATGCAGTCATACTGTCCAAATTTAGGAGATTCTGCACTTTCTTCATTCAACGGCTTTCTTAAAGCAATTATGCTTATGACATTGTGAATGCCTTTCAACAAGAGCCTTTTAGAGCTATAATAGCTCGTAAGGCCTTTTTTCACTTCGACCAGAAAGCTAAGTTTCCACAACATCTAAATTTTAACATATTTAACAAACGGTATGTAAATGTAACAAAGGAAAACACATTTTCTCTTTTTTTACTCCTTCCTTTTTAAATAAGCATTGGGATTACTTCAAGGCTCATCAAACTATCAAACAAAATACAAAAATAGAATATAAATACTTACTTATACACATTATTTCCTAAATGTGTTCTCTTATGTTTAACCAAATCATTGCTCTGTGTAAACGCCCGGTCACAGATGTCACAACGGTAAGGTTTTTCACCCGTATGAATTCTGTAGTGACGCTTCAAGTGATTTTTATCCGCAAATCTATGAAATAAAAAAAAAACAAATTAAAATTATGAGTTATGAATGATGATAATATAAACTTATTTTTAAAGATTCAGCGTGTTTGCGAAATGGGTACTTATAATACACAATATTGATTGCTTAAAATTCTCTGAATATTTTAAATTTTTCCCTAGCAATATAACTTTTTTTCAACGTTTATTTCTTTACATTCATATGACTAGCGTGATTTTATACATTTATATAATTCTACCAGATTTCTGAACATAAACTGACACCCTCAAATAGTGCGTGCATGCCCGTGAACAGGCGTTACTCGTCGTTACTTAAGGAAGGGTTCTGGGTAGTCTCGACAGTTTCAAAGTCCCGGGACACGAGACAGCCTACGATCAAAGTCCTGGGACTTCAGGAGTTCTCAGAATAAAATTAGAATTGAGTTAATTTCTAGCGAAATGTATTCATAAAAAGGTTATTTTTGTTATGGGGTGTTCTTTGTCTCCGTTTCATGTTTGTTTGTAAAGTCCCCCGCGACACAGAATATATTCCTAATGCAGGAGTTGTCTATTTTAAAAGAAAAAATAGTTATAATTTTCAAACATAAATTGCAATCCTAACAAATTGAAGTCTAATTTCAGTCTAAATAATTGTTATATTTATTTCTTTTGGAGCCCCAAACCACTTTAGGCAACGCACTTGTGACTTGACTTAGCTGCAGGTTTCCATGGACGGCGGTAGTAACTTAGTGACCGTGTACAATGTGTACAAATAAGTGTCAACGTGTACAATGACACTTATACATTAATAACAAAGCACATTCATGATGCTCCTAGGCCATACCGGGTGCTCAACCCACATCAACTCACAGTCTCATGACGATAAAAAGAGTGAGCTATTGACGTGTTCACATCATCGAGAAGTAATATCCAAAACTAGCTATTTCCCACGGCTTCGCTCGCGTGATTATTCTTTATTTCGTATTTCTAACTTTGAAAATGATGGACTTCCATGCCACGGTACATTCCTTCGCATCGGCTGCCAAAATTTTAAGTTTTGACGTTTAGGCTTTTAGGCTTTTGACGTTTAGGTTTAGGCTCCAATCGACTGCTAAGCAGCACCAATGGCATCCTGAGAGTATTGTCCGAGAGGTGGGATCTTCCAATCCTACAAAGGTGGATGCGTCTGCATGCTAGCGCATCCCCACGATTTATTTTTTAATTTGTTTTTGTGTTAATGTAGAACTAACATAGTTGTAAGATTACTGTTACTAACATATCTATGGACTAATGTCTGAAAATAAATAAATTTATTATTATTATTTGCATAGAAAATGTCCCATAGCAAAATAAGACAAAGCAATTGGTTTTTATAGCTCCATCTCCTCTTTTTAGCTGCCTAATGCCACACAAAAAACATCAGCACAAGTATCCTGCACGATTAGAATTTTTTAATATCTTGTCTATTACACTTTTGTTTTACAGGTATCGTGACTTTGTCTCTAGTTCTCAGCAACAATTTAACATGAAATTTATCTTGAAACTAAACTAGTAGATCCTAATTGATTACAAACATGCAATACAAACACGCGATAGGCGTCCTTGCGTTATATGCAATTCCCCTGAGACGTAGCAATCGCCCTCCGAACTCTCTGAGAATTTAGATAATGGATGACGTTCTTAATCAGCAGACAAAAATTCCACGCTATTCACTATTATTCTGAGTCTTAGAGACTTTTAGATGCTATCATTCAAAACACATGCTGAACAACATGCGTCAAAACAAAAAGCTGAACTCTATTGAATAAACTCGACTATATGGATTGACCTAAACTTACACTATTTCTCTGAAACTTTTTTAATTCGTATTAATATTAACTTGAAATCCCATTTTACGTTAAAATCTAATATTTTGACCTGTATCTAAATTTACCAATTCTTAAACGTTGAAACAAACACTGTGTATTACGCAAGTATACTACTATATATTGGTAAAAAAAGCATCAAAATGCGCGTCAAAATGCATTGAAAATAGACATTTTTAAAATGACTCTGAATGCGTTTAGCAGCTAATTATTTATACCAATATTTATTATTATTTGTGCATAATTATGTGTTTCATACTCACTTCGTGGCACAAACATCACACTGGTGTGGTTTAACGCCTAAGTGTGTGAACTTGTGTTTCTCTAAGTAGCTGCGTTTTGTGAAGGCTCCATTGCACAAGTCGCAAGCAAATGGACGTTCACCAGTGTGGGTCATACTATGAGATTTTAGTTCACCTGGAATTACACAGTCCTAATTATGGAAAATTCGAATAACCATGAATGTAACCTTGAAAGTAGTTCCATGTTAATTATAATTTTATTTTGGGTTTGGCTAGTGAATGGCAGTCTACTTGAAATTACCCTTTTTGGTAAGAATGGAAAAAAATTGTAAGTGTAGATTGAAACTGCATTAGTTCAAATTGTTCAGGGCCCATAGGTACATGTTGTAGTAGGAACCGCAACCAGGATACGGAAATTATAGCCATTTTACTTGCTATTGCTATTACTGTAGGACACATTTAAAGGACTTAACATCAACTGACTGGTCTGTTTGTCTATTTGTAAGTGATCCCCGTTGCTAAGCCAGAGGTTGTGGGTTTGATTCCTACCTGGGACAAATAGTTGTGTGATGAGCATGATCATTTGTTCTGTGTCTGGATGTAATTTATCTACGATGTGTATGTATTTAGTCATATATAGGTATGTTTATCAGCAGTCTGGTTACCGTAGTTCAGGCTCTATCTAGTTTGGGATCAAATAGCAGTGAGTGAGATGTCAAGGTATTAAATCTATACAAATAAATAAAATTTTAGTGTCTGTTTGTAATGTCATTGCACAATATTTATGCCTAAAAACTAGTTTGAATATTTTCTGTCTGTTTGTTTTGGGTGATCTTTAAAATGGCTAGACTAGAATTTTGATAAGATTATACCACTGTAGCTGTGTAGCTGTCTATATAATGCTGTCCATATGATTGGAGAATCAAACCCGAGGCCTCATAGATTGCAATTGCATACCAAACTACATTACTAAGGCAGCACTTTCCAATTGCACGCAAATGAATCACGGGTACCACCTAGTTATTATATATAGTACTCTACTACCACTAATGTAGATTTCCACAAGTAATAAAAGAATAAAGGTATACAAACTCACCTTTACTTATAAATTTTCCTGGGCACAAATTACAAGCATATAACCTTAACCCAGTATGCCGTTTAATATGTTGGTTTAAATTTGTACTAGAATCAAACATTTTGCCACAGGTAGGACATAAATATGGTTTCTCGCGTGTATGGAGTTTTATATGCCTCGTAAGAGACTCAATATGAGCAAACATCTTAGTACATATCGGACAATGGTTGTTCTTGATACCTTTGTGTTTATTTATGTGAGCTTTTAAATTATCTTCCGTTGCAAATGATTTAGGACACATATTGCATTTGAAAAGACGGTTATCATTATGAGTGAGTTCATGACGTTTTAAATGACTTATTTTTTTAAATATTTTCTTACATATTGCACATTGGAGTACTCGGTTTTTAGGTATGTGTGCTTTTTGGTGAGCTGATAATGAAGGTATTGACTTGAAGGAGAAAGAGCATATCTCACATATTAAGTTTTGGTTGTTATTCGAGTTAGAAGCAGGGGTTAGGAAATTTTCTTTAGGATCTTCTTGATGTTTGACGAGATGTTGTAAATAACTATTATTATCTTGGAATATCTGTTTGCATAAAGTACAGTTGTAGTCTTCTGAATGCATCTGCATATGATGTTTCAAGTTTGGTTGCTTTTTAAACTTTTTGTTGCAAACCTCACATCTTAGCTTTAAATTTTTGGTTTTGGAATGTGCTTCTTCTTTTTTTGTTAACATATTAAATGTATTGTTTTCAATGTTACTATCCATTGAATTATTGTAATCTTCATTTTCATCCATATCAAACCCTGATATATTTGATGTATCTGCCCGTTTTAAGCACTTTTCATCAACATCTTCACATTCTTTCGGTTCTTCTTTATATGCTGGTTTAAAATTTTCAAAATACTCTTTTAACTTCTTTTCAGCTTTTAAAGCATTAATTGTAAAATTATGAAAATTTAACAAACTATAGAAACAATTGTTGCATACTTTCTTTGGTAATTGGTCACCCATGGTCACCTAAAAAGAAAGTAAGATAATTAAAAAAAAGTGTTAGTGTTGGTATTAAAGACTTTGGATTATTATTATTTGTTTATTTTTAAATATACTTCAGATTACAATGGGTCTAACAAAAATAAATCAGTGTTGTGTTAATTAGCTGGAAAACTGGATGAACACATGAGAGGATATAGTAAACAGAATGTAGCATACTAAAAACTAAGTCAAGGAATGCGACTCGGTGGGCTGTCAAAACATTGTATGGAAACTAAATTGATATATTTAGCTACTCTTAGCTTGAAAAATGACAAGGCTTGTTACATAGAATCATATTCCTAAAGTAATCAAAGATTTTTATTGTTCAAATTTGATTAATGCAATGAAACTAGTGCAAAATTATGACATTAAATTCCTTGCCAAAAGTAAGAGATATTGTTGTAAGTATTACCATTAGTGTAGTGTAAGAAGACAACATTTCAGCAACACTCCCCATATCTTTAATATGTGCAAAAATTTCATGCATTTCGTCAGCGCCATCACTTAAACATGTGCGACAACTGTTGTCATATTTTTTATCAATAATAGTAATATCCATTTCAATATTTATATAATACTCTTGAGTACATTTATTTATCTTGAACACTTTGCCAGTCTATATTCTACTATAAATACAAAAACAGAAACAGTAAAATATACACACATTTCACAAAGGTGACACCGTTGACATTAATTACATTTTGACATTGTCTATTCTTGACTCAATAATGTCGTCCCATGAAAACTCACACAACACATTTTGATACCAAATATTGTTATTAGGACCAAAATACAGTGATTTACCTTTGTCCATCTGCCACGTTAGCATATACCAATTTTATTAGAACGAAGTTCCTTGTCAAGCGTTACACTCACTGAGTGGATGGAACGACCTCAAAAAATGTGTAACAAGACTTTTAACCGACAATTCTTGATCTGATTTTCGTTCCGACCGGGGGTCCATAGACCCCTCATGCCGTTTTTTGTCAATAAAAATATTATGAATGTTTCTATTGACATATAACATCATTTAAAGTGACGACCACCACTGGTAATGTTATACACGGTCCGATTAACTAAATTTTCAAGTTACCTTTTCATCACTTTTGGTTTGCTTTCATCAATGACAACTTAGATTATGTAGAGTAGTAGTAATAGGTAGATGTTTTAAAGCATCAATTGTCAATGTTTAGTCATGTTTATATTTGTTTTTTTAACATATCACAGTCAGGGGTCCTAACAAAAAAATTTACGTCACAAATCACTACTACTATTATCACTATTATATCTATATAATAGTGATAATAGTAGTAGTAGTAGTAGTAGATAGTGATAATTTTGTCTGATAATTTAATTTTGTTGTGTTAAATATCTAACATAAATTAAGTAACCAACGAATTTTAATACGCAAATGCAATAAAGTAAAATACGTAAATGATACACCACGATGTTTATGACACATTTTCCGAAGGCTTCCTTGTACGCAAGCACAAAGACACGTGTTAGCATAGAGGAGATCATTATCTCGCAGGATAAATCCTATTTATAAATATGTTTGTCTCTTTTAAAAAAATGGCCGAGCGTTCCGACCGGGGTCTTGTTAAAAAGTAATGTTAAACATTTTTTGATCTCGCTCCCATCCGCTCAGAGCGTGTAATGCACGATAAGGAACTTCGTTCTATAAATCATATGCATAAAGTCTGTGTTATATGTATTTTTTTGAATCAATTAATCGTTTGTTGAGTTCAAAACCAAACCGTATAAAAAGCTTAGGTTTCTCCGGCCTAATACCAGATATTTTAATTGTGTTTGGCTACGTCACTATTCCGTCTATCAAGTCAAAGTTCTCAAGTCTCATGCAGTGTTCTGTGAACTTCTGTGTTCGGTGTTCATTCACAGTTTCGTAAAACGTACAAGTGTGTTCGAATGTGTAGTGTTTGTGACAATCACAAAATAACTAGTGGTAAAAATACGTGGACTTTATCTATCTACTTCAGTTTTCCTGGTAAGTTTCGTCTGTAGAGCACTTAGGTATATCTGTGTTAATAAATCAGCGTAATAATATGTGTCGTGATTTTCCTCAAAAAATATAAATTAAATATATCATTTTTTCCATTACGGTAAGTGATTGGCATAAATTACGATTGATTTGAATCTGGTAGATCGAGAAATTTATATTTAAAAATATGTGAAAAAGTATTTTAATGTAAGAAAATAAAATAAAAATTTTGGTTGACCCGAACACATTGCAAATTCCGAATATTTATTAGGTTTGGTATACTAAAGTCATAAAAAAGGTTTGTGTTTATTACACAAACCTTTTTAATGACTTTATTAAGTATTGATTTCGTTATTTTTAACCGACGTCAAAAAAGGAGGAGCTTGTCAATTCGGGCGTATTTTTTTATGTTTACTTCGTCATATGTACATACTTCTTATTCAAATTTGAAAAAAACAACAGCATGAGGGGTCAATGGACCCCCGGTGGGAACAAAGTTCCATCCTTTCGCTTTTTAGTAGACGTTTGCTATAGTGTCGCTTCCATCCGCGCAGAGCGTGTAACACACTATATTAAACTTCGTTCCAAAAATACAACCCTAAGCAATGAACAGTTTATTGCAATTTATCATAATGTTGAAATAGATTTTTTTTGTTTTATAATAAAAAAAAATGTGAAGAATGTTTTAATATAATATTTAAAATTTCAAGTCAATGTTATAAAAAATAAATAAACATTAGGTTCATCGTCAAACTCAAATTCGTTTACATTATGTGCATACCTTCATTTTGTTATTTAACAATTAAGTAAAACCTCTCTCGCTATTATACAATATTTATTACGAGTATCTGAGATTATTAAAGACCAGTAGGTACAATTTAAAACGATTGTATCCAAACTTTGCCTAGTAATTAGACATTTCCTATTATTATATACAGTCTCTCAGTACCTACTTAATAATGATCGTAAATGACGTCTCGATAATTCTCCTGCAGTTGGCGATACCTACTACTGATAGAATACTTAGATACTTTTTTTGTAAATACTTAGGTACATATTATGTATAGAAAATATCTAAACTCCGAAAGAAATATTTCCAGATCATACAAACATTTGGTCTGACCCGGAAATCGAACCCGAGACCTCATAGCATAGCAGACCTCATAGCATAGCGCATAGCAGTCTCATACGTTACAACAGCACCACCGAGGCAATCAAGGCAAAAGAAAGTGGAAAGAAAAGTGAAAGATATTATAATATGATAAACATAAGTAAAATCATTTTAAAAACCCGTCTGTTGTTCGTAACTACCTCGATACAATTTATTCTGACATTGCAATTAATGGTGAGCGCAAACTGTGTAGGTACAGTCAGGACCAAAGAGACTAGTCCACTATCGTCATATACTTTTTACTTCTGAACGCATATATTTGGACATCTGCAATGTACATATAATTATTTATCTATATCTTTATTGTATACAGTTAACACATAAGTTACTTACAAATACTAACTTTTAAAGTTTCGCGTTCCATGATAATTAATATGATTTTAACGCTAATTAACGCGATCTCTTATTTAGGGTATTACATACCTCTGGTTTGCCTGACGTTTCGACCATGTTGCACCGGCCGTGGTCACAGGCTGACTGGCTCATCGGCACACGCCCTCCGTCGTCGAATCCGTGAAGTCACGGTACTATTATAATACAGTATTGTAACTCGGCCGCATGATAGAAATAAATGCCTACAGCCGCGCGGTACGTACACATGCGTTAGGGCTGCCCGTTGCCAGTATTTTAATTATATTTGCCTACTTCCTGTTTCTATTTAGATTTGTGATTGTAAATATCCTTTTTATATAAATAAATGAAATACTTTGTATATTGAATAGGAATTGTTCAATAAAAATGCGTGTTGTTTTTTGATTGGTAGATTTAATTAAAAAAACATGTTTTTGTTTGAAAAACAAATCGGGCTTATAAATTTGCGACCGAAAAAAATCCTTCTATAAAATAAAATAAATGTGCTTTCTCCTTACGCGTTACAAAACTCCAATCCTTAGAAACTCCAACACCTATCTACTCAACTAGAATGCAAGAAACAGCTGACGAGTAAGTAACTTTTATCTCAGCTTATTAACGTCTCTATAAATTAGGTACCTACCTACAACTCGCAACAACTCAAAACAAAAATTCTTTGGTCACCAATTAATTAATTATTAAAAAGCTGAACAGCTGACTACGAATGTTTTAAAATCACAACCCTCAAACATCTAAATATTATATATGAGTCTAGCTGTTGTTGTTAATACCGAGAAAATAAAACCAGTTTTTAGTGGTATATGTTGTTATATGCAGCAGAAACACTTTGTGAAAATTTTGAAAGCTGTCTAATGACACACATAATAAACAAATATTATTAATAATAAAATACCACGTCTTTACTTTGAATTATGCAAAGTAACAAAACACACATGCACCGAAGTTTTAACACAAGCGTAAGTAGGTAGGTACCTACCGTATCATGATTCATTCAGAACCTCATATAACTACCTATTTCACTCGTCTCAATAACTTTCCGTTACTCTATTCGCTTTATTAATTAATCCAAACACCTTTTTTTTCGTAAGATAAAAGGAAATACTTATCCATAAAAAAGACACACATTATGTACCTACCTACTAGTAAGTAAAATTATTTTATAGTCTTACCTTTCAGAGTTTCCATTTAATTTAAAAAAACTTATATCTGGATGCTTTATTGACGAATTCATACAACCAAAAACAGCACAATATTTCCTACTCGTCATATTAACTGTTTTTTAGAGAAAAAATCGCGTGGTTATTGTTAAAAAAACAACACACAGTCGGTTCGACACTGCGGTACAGCCGTGACTGTCTGCGCCCCGAGCGCACCCCGAGATCGAGGCGCGTAGGTATAGCTCGCGTTTCGTCCGTTTGTATGAAGTTGGAGTACTGTATTATAATAGTACCGTGGTGAAGTAGAAGGCTCTTCATCTACCCGCATATTTTCGATATTGTTGTTGTTTTTGTGCTGCCATGTACACACTACTACACGTACTAACAGTGTCCCTATTCTGTTAGCAAACCGATGAGTCCCTATTCTGGTGTTTAACCGATTGCGCAGAAAAGCGAGGTGGTATGTTTTTTAACACTGGATTCCACGCTGTAAATAACGTCACTTTTACTCAAGAGTTGTAGGTACGTGAAGCGATTGAGATTAAAAAGCATAAAACTTTCAATCGGGAGGGTGGTTTTAAATTATGTAATACCCTAAATAAGAGATCGCGTTAATTCCCGTTAAAATAATATTAATTACTTACAAATACATATATAGACCTAACAATCGGCGGTCTTATCGCTCACGGCGATCTCTTACAGACAACCTTAATACGGATATTAGATATTTAAAAATTTGGATAGTTTACATACACATAATTATTATTCTACAAGTGTACACAAATTAT